TTGAGTTGATTTTATACTTTGGAAAAGGGTTTATGCAAATAATGAAAAATTTAAACGCATTGGCTAAAAAAACTCTGACATTACTCGTCTACTCAGCTGTCTCCATTATATTTGGCTTGTTTACGGTTGGTTGCTAGGTTACGAATACTGCAGTCAGGCACTCTAAATACTCGATGGAAACCCACCTATTCACATTTAGCATTTTGTTCTTTTTTGCAAATGTTAAAAATATTTATTTCACATTAGCAAGAACACCTAACTTTAACATCCAACGCCCTTATTAGCAAGCGAATATGCCTTCGTTTGGTACAGCCTAAAGGTGTGCAGGGAAAAAGTGTGCAAAATTTCAAGTAAAATCTTTTTATTCGCAAAAACATTTTACATGGGCTTGAGGTGGTTTCATGGAAATAATGAAAAATAATGGAAAATTGAAATACATTTGCGAAATAAACTTGTCTACTCATCTCCATTATACTTGCCTTGTTTAATTGTTGGTTGCTAGGTTACCAATACCACAGTCAGCCACTTTAAAAGCTCAATAGAAACATGCCTAATTTACATTTGGTATTGTTTAGTGAGAAATTATAGTCTCAAATAACAAGAAATTGAAATGCATTTGCAAAATAATCTCTGACATTACTTGTCTACTCAGCTGTCTTTTTTGAGCTGTCTCAGTTGCTTACTAGGTTACCAATACTACAGTCAGCAACATTAAGGGCGTACTGACACTAGGTAGAGTTGCCTTGAACTGTGCAGAAGCACGATTGTCTCCCCTCCCCTCTCCCCCGAAGGCCTGCACTCACACTGCATTTTGCCTTCCGAGCCGGAGCACGTTTACGTCATCGAAAGTGCTCTCACTCAGCACAGTGGAGATTGCTTTAGTTATATTGTTTTGTAATATTTTGTCGTTTGAGATGCAATGGCACGCAGTCAAATATTTCGCCGAACAGATCCAACATTTCTGACGCTCATAAATGTTCATAAAGTCTTCATGCTGCACATATTAGATGGTTTGCTGAAGGTGACAACTGACATGGAGTGAGGGTTTTGCGTCTTTAATAAACGATGACAGTTCATTGAAAAGTAAGAATAATTAATAAAACTATAAGAAACAGTCCCTTAAAAAGTGACGTCATGTCTTTAGTTTCAGGCTCAGGTGTGCTTTGTACTCAAACCGTGCCAAAGCCCAAGCAATCCTCTTCCAACCAGGTCGGGGCCAGACAACTAAACGTGCCTGGGCCCGATTCGGAGCACTCACACTTGTCAAACAAACTGGGTATTGCGCCCAGGCACAGTTCGGATAGCCTAGTGTAAGTGCACCCTAAGAACTTGATGCACCTAATGCACATTTGGTATTTCTTTTTGTGCAAACTTTGAAAAGATTCACTTCATGTTAGGATGAAAACCCAAACATCTCAATGCCCTCATTTGCAAGGGAATATGCCTTCGTTTCACAAAACAAGAAAAAAAAAAAGTGATAGGTGGGCATCCGTCCACACCAGTTTCGAAGATGCCAGACGCGTGGCAAGCCGGCACAGTCTTATCAAACTACAGCTTCATTGTGTGTGTTTTTTTTTCACCACACAATGCCACCTGCTCATGCAACTCCATTTAATCCTGTATTTATATGTTTTTTTTACTCAGCCGTGGCTTTGTTTATTCTCATTAAGCTAGCTTTTCCTCTGTGACTCACTGAATCGTGGACGCTCCCCGTTGTCTTTGAATACAACCAAGAGTGAGGGAGTTTGTCCTGTTTATTTGTTGCATAAGATAAGTGTTGTGAGTGGTGAACGGCTCATTTTTTTGTTGATTACTGCAGGCAGATGATGGGTTTTAATAGGGTTGAGAGAGTTTTTGTTGCGAATGTGCTGTTTGGGGATCGGTATGTGTGTGTGTTGGCTGGAGAAGTTTCCGTGGTCTTTGATATAAGGCTGCTTTAGCAGGGTAGCTGATAACGGTGAAAGCAAGCAGGGCCAAATTAATTAAGGAGACACAGAAAGGGTTGCATTCATTATCCGCTGTTTGTTTTGAGTAGTGCATGAACGTTCCAAAATGTTGATTATTATGATTTTTTTTTCCAGGTTTAGTCAGTTTTTGATGAAATGTTAATTTAGTCCATATCTTACAGTGTCATATTTATTGGCTTGTACTCAATTTTACTCTAATAACATTTGCATATAATTCATTTGATTTCATTAGCACTTTAGCAGGCATATCAAATGTGCAAAATTCTGCAAGTGTTTTTATAAAAGAAATGTTCAAAAATGTATAAATATTAAATGTAGTCCTATTAAATATTTTTAATTAGCAACATATAAAAACAGAGCATGAAAAGTAAGTTGCATTTTTTTTTTGTTAATGCACAGCATTACAGCAAATATTTCAACAGCAAATATTTCAAATATTTTTTTGCAAAAAAAGAAATTAATTAATTATCACATACAAAATAAATAAAAAAGCAACAATAATAAAAAAATAAAATAATTAAGTAATTCGTATAAACCCAGAATACACTTTTCAAAAAACACAAAATGTCTAACCCCTAAAACCCACCCCACCCTCGGGACTAAAGCTTATGGAGGACTCTTGGTGTGACCTTCACCATCTGGGTTTTTAACCTACGCTTTCAAAATAGAGGAGAAGAGGATACTAAATCTAGTCAATTTTTTTTAAATTTCTTTGCCATAAGAAATCTGATCCTTTCTAAATGTGCTATTTTAGTTAATTCTTCCAGCCGAGACCTAAATGATGGGGATTCTGTTGATTTCCTAAACCATAGCACCAGCTTCTTTGCCGCAATAAGGCTGTAATAGTTACATTTCTATTAGGTATGATTTTCCATGATTAAGAGATATGATATTGTGTTTTAAATGGAGTTTTTATGAAAGCTCCATCCTCTTAACATGATTTTTAGATGAGACTTGCAAATTTAAATACAGCAAAAACAGTAATATTAGTAGTAATAAATAACTACCATTTAACCCATATGTACTGTTGGGGATGTTTTCATCCACTCTGGGGTGATATATAATTTTTTTTTTTGCATAAATCTGTTAATTAACCTCAGTCCTGATCAAAAACTATTAAAACTTAACTCTTTAATACTTAATTTTTAACTCTAATTGCCAAATTCTTATGATGTCACTGATTTGGTGAAAACACACACACACACACACACACACACACACACACACACACAAAATGACGTATTTTCAGTAATAAAAGTAATTGTGTATCTTTTATCACAGTCTTGGACGTTTGAAACAACATTATCTTTTGAGGCATTGTTTTGGAATAATTTTCTTTTTTTCTCTTCCTAATTTACTGTTGATGGCTGTTTTTGTCCCATTGACTTTCATTATAACCATTTTTTTTATACAAAACCATGACAACATATCATGCATTTCTTACTGTAAAATTAGTCATTTTTACTGTTGATTATCAGTTGGCACCATTAACCCTTTAGATAGGTCTGTGCAAATAAAGCTTAGTTTCTGGATATTATATGCAGTATAACAGCAAATTAAAGTGTGTGTTTACAGTATGTGTCTGCAAATGTGTGAGAGTGACCTATACGCATATATGCATCTCAGCTTTCAGAACTACATGGAGTATACAAAAACAAAGACTGTGTATTGATGCACCATCAAATGTGGTTATAATGTAAATCAATGGGGCAAAAGCAGCTATCAACAGTAAATTAGGGAGACAAAATTGAAATCTAACAATGCATCAAAGCCAATGCTGATACTAATTTTACACATCCAAGACTGTGAGAAAAGGGAAAAAATCCAGTCCACAATTACTTTTTATACTGAAAATACGTCATTTTGTGTGTTATTTTCACCAAATCAGTGACATCATTTATGAATTTGGAAATTAAAAATCCTGTAATTTTTAAAAACATTTTGTAGTTTTGATCAGGACAGAGGTTGATTAACAGATTTATGGAAAAAAATTGAAAAAACATTAATCTGATGCATTTTTTACAGCAGGTAGCAAATCTGAACCATGCACAAGGGTTTAATTTACAGCATGTGTGGACGCATTTTAGAGGGAAACCACACTCAAAAAAATACTTTTGCTGCTAGTCATTTACCGGTAACACTTTACAATAAGGTTCATTAGTTAATGCATTTACTAACATGAACTAATCATAAACAACACATGTACAGCATTTATTAATCATAATTGAACATTTACTAATGCATTATTAACATTCAAGTCCATGCTTGTTAACATTAGTTAATGCACCGTGAGTTAACATGCACTAACAATGAACTATTGTATTTTCATTAACTAACGTTAACTAACATGAACAAATACAGTAGTAAATGTATTGTTCATTGTTTGTTCATCTTAGTAAATGCATTAATTAACATTAACTAATGAACCTTATAGTAAAGTGTGACCCATTTACCTAATTAAAAATGAGCTGAAACAACAATTCTTGTGGGTTTCTATTTTGGGACAGCTGTTTTATGTTCACTCCACTTAAACTTGTTAAAACAATTACGTTAGCTTAATTTATTTGTTTTGGTAGAACATTAAGGAATAGTGTGGAACACAGCAATTTACACATGCAGCCAAAAACTATTGGAAAAAGAAAATTTCTTAAATGACAATTTTGCTACTGAAAAGTTTGTAATTAATATGAATAATTCATTTATTAGTCATTTTCTATTTCTCTTAGTCATTTTTCCTTTTTCTCTATTTGTATAATTTTGTTTTTACCCTAGTTTAGATCTTTAGATCATGTCTGATTTTCATAAGTTTATATAGAGCATTTATTGCAAAAAAAGTGAGCAAATTAATGTTAATAAGTCTTCACATTATTTATGAATACCTTCTACATAATTTAATCAGAATTTAATATGGATTATGTATTTCCTTTTTGCAGTGTTGCAGTATCTTTCATTCTCTTTATTGATGAGACCAAGCAAAGCCAAATTCTTACAGCTAAAATGTTTTTATTAAATTTGTGTTCATGTGTGTTGTAGGTTCCAGCTCAAAAGTGCCGCTATGCTGTAGGCAGTATTTTGAGTGAAGGTGAGGACCGACTCAATGAAGAACAGCAGAAGCTTTATGAGAATCACGGCTTCCGGGTTTTCTCATTTCCAGAGGTCACACATGTCGTCACGACCTCCTTCCCTCACCGAACCCCTCTCTCTATTTTCCTGGGAGTGCAGAGGGTTTATCCACAGCTCAACTACTACATCAAGGTAACATCTTCATCTTTAATCACGTGTCATACTTGAATTAGCTTAAGGCCCAGATTGGAGAAAACATTGAGTTTGTTCAACCTTTTGACAATTAAATTAGTAGTAATATTTTTATTTTGTTAACCAGACTAAGCACTATACAATATGCAAGATAACTGGAAAATTTATTTTTAAACATCCCTAAAATTAGTTTGTTTGTGAAGAAAAACAAGGTTTTTTTTAAGAAGATACTGAGAATTCATCACCCTATGCTGAGTTCAGACTGCAAAAGTAGTGGCATCACAGATGTTTTCACACTACATGACTATTTAGGTTGCATTCCGTCACTGCTGTGTTTACACTACAAGATGGTGACAGGGGGTTTCACACAGTGTGACTTTATAATAGGTAGAATCACAGACAACTTTGTTTCGGTCCACAAACTACATCTCACAGCCAAACCCACGTGAGAAGTGACATGGAAACAACACAAGGTCACGTAGTATATTATTTGTTATTAACTAGATAATGAGAAAGAAGCTCACCTGGCTCTTGAGAATTCAAATACCACCGGTTTTGGTATTACTCAGGTGACAGGTCAAAACGACACAGGTGGTCCTGCCAAACTACCAAAATTGTCCAAATAGACAAAAAATAGGCTTTTTCTCAACTGAAGCCATGCTTTTTGATTTTGTGGTCCTTCGTAACTCCTCACCTAGTGACTTATCGAAGATTCTCTCAGATCGCGTCTTTGATAGTTCACACTGTGTGATTGTTACTCACGTGAACAAGTACCGATTTACCTGTGATTTCAGGCATTTGTTGGCGATTTCTCAAAATCTGGGCTAAAACTGTGCAGTCTGAACTTGCCAGTGGTGTGAATTTTGAAGTTTCAAATAAGAAATGAGTAACTGAAATGCAAAATTTTAAGTAAAAATCTTGTAATCCGCAAAAATGTTTTACGCATGCTTGAGGTGGTTTTTGACTTTGGAAAATGGTTAATGCAAAAAATAAGAAATGGAAATTGAGATGGTTGTGAGTGAAAATCCCAGTAGATCAGCAGTTTCTGAAATACTCAGACCAACCCATCTGGCAACAACAACCATGCCACATTCAAAGTCACTTAAATCACCTTTCTTTCCTCTTCTGATGCTCGGTTTGAACTGCAGCAGACCATCTTGACCATGTATACATGCCTAAATACATTGAGTTGCTGCCATAACCGATTAGAAATTTGTATTAACGAACAGTGGCACGGGTGTACCTAATAAAGTGGCGGGTGAGTGTATATGTACATATGCAACTATTTTAAACATTTCACCTCTCTATAATGAATTACCAGGTTATTCTGCATTCTGATAGACTTTAACCTGCTGCGAATGCTTGTGAAGTTGACACATTCTTGTTAAATTATTAATTATTGATTATTACAGTCTTCATCCTGAAGCAAATGCTTGTGGAATTGACACATTCTTGTTTGCACATTGTTAAATTATTAATTATCGTTAACTGTTCCAATCAAGCCTTGGGCCAGATCAGATGCTTTTGTCGACTGTGTGTAACACACCTGTGCTCTAAAAGTTCTTCACTCGGAGGCTGTGTTGATGCATCAATTTTGCTGTCGCCAATTCAGGTGTGTTTAATTAAAGCTGTCCCCATTGTGTGATGGATTCAGACAGCTTGCTTCTGTTTCCTTCAACATGATTGGTGTACTGGCGCGCGTAGAGGTTGTGAGAGAACAAACGCCTAGTGTGTGTCAGTGTTTTTGGCCTCTATATGGAGGGATGGAGACAGTAATTATTAAGCAGTTGACTTAATCATAGCAATTAAGGACAAACTGAGAGAAGAAGAGCAGAGGATGAGGGCAAAGCAATAAATGAGAGGTGCAGGACTGCAAATTGGGAAAGAGGGACGTGCAGAAGGACATGCTGTTGAAGGGGAAGCAGTTTTAAATTGGAGTTCAGAATAAAAAATGCATAGTTTCAAGATGATCATCGCAATCAAATTATTTAATTTGATTGATTTATATATTGAAAAAATAAATAAATAAATAAATAAATATATATATATATATATATATATATATATATATATATATATATATATATATATATATATATATATATATATATTTTTTTTTTTTTTTTTTTTTTTTTTTTTTTTACTTTAGAGTAAGAAGTTAGAAAAACTTTCCATACTACTGAGAGGCATTTTATTTATTTAACAAATATGTAAATATCTGCAGCTAGGGTTGATCTGTAGTGGGGCTGTGCAATTAGTTGAAGGCGATTTTATTTATTTTATTTTTTTTCCATGTGCATTTTGTCAGTAAAGCCTGTTCTATAATCAGTAGTAAACAACAAAAATCGCAGATGAAAGTGAAGATAATCCTTCTGCGATAATGACAATTGTTTGCAACATTTTATAATATTCTAAGCAATGCATATATTTTATTATCAGAAAAAATATAATAAAATTAACTCTGATAAATCATATATTGTTTTAGTTGTGTTTATCAGACCCCCTAGTTTTTAACTTTTCTTGTGTTTTTTTTATTTTCTGATTAAAAAATTAAATTTGAAGACAATTTTGCGATTTTAAAAAAATATATATAAATGTAAAAAAATTATATGTATTTACAATATTAGGTAGCCTACTATGTTAGGTGTGCAATCTGAAACAATGACACAAATCATAAAAATAAAGCTTCTTTATTTTAGTCTCTTGTTAATACAAGATCTAAAACAGTAGGGAAGGTTGTATTACTCTTATTTTTATCCACAATCTTACTTTCTCAGATTTCACACCCCAGAGCATCTGACATCGTCACTTATAGGACATGCATTAGGGCTTCACCTACCGTAATACACCTAAAACACGGATTGCCGTAAAACTCTACAGAGAAGTAGTTTCTATTGTAAAGTGCAGGGATTGAGTTCAATTAAATCATTTATCAATTGAACTCATCATATTATCAGCCATACATGTAAAGCACAAATAATGTCCTTCAATTCGGTTAAGTCTAGCGGCTATCTTCCTTGAACCAATCTCATCTCCTGTCTGTTCTGTTTGCTCCAACTTTCTTTTGCAGTCTGAAGCTCGTCAAATGCACAAAACGCAAATTCCCTCCACAAGATGTCAATATGTCATCTTTGCTATGACTACATGTAAATCACTCGCTTCATCTGCATCTCCTTAAAAACTCCTCTGCCTCCCCTCCATGTAATGTAATGATTTTGCGGCCGCAGGTGAGACGTCATTTTTCGAGAGACTCAAATACATCATGTGTAATGCGTTTGCAACGTCTGCAAGTCATGTAAAATGCTTAATTGCAAACTGAGATAAAACATTTTTGATTATATGGTTTGGAATTAGATTTTTTTATGAGATTGACATTTTTTGCAATTATTTTGCGGTTAATTAAGAATTTTGCAGGATCGCAAAGATTTTCGAATTTGTTGATTTAGCGTTGGATTCAGTGATCGTGGAATCGCGAAAACCTAGGGAGTCTGGTTTATTAGCCATGAAACCTTGTGTTATTGATCAACCAGTAAAGGTTTCCTGGTTTTCTTCTGTTTATTTGGAGTTACCGAACGAGAGCATTCGCTGGTCTTTTAGATGGAGATTTACTACCAATCATAGAACTTTGCTTTCCTGAGAAGATGTGCATGACCATCGCAGCATTTGCCAATTCATTTTGATTTCACTTTGATTTATCTTGCAGCTCTAGTCAGCGTCGCATTCGCAATGATATTTAGGAAAACAGCTCTCTTGCTTGCGTCATATTACCTATAAAAATATGTCTAGCCTGAAATTTTCTGAAATGATGTGGTACTCCATGTAATACCAAGCCTCTTTTAGCACTTTCCAGAGGTCTTCTTTAGATGTATGCTGTTTTATTCTTCTTGCTATGTCCAGGTCATCATATACTCCCTCTGTAATATTGAGGTCTCCACGGGGGACAGTCCATGAAAATGGTTTCCTCTCTAAATATAATTTTACAGCATTAGTAGTGTGCTCGTATTCATTATAATGCTGACAAATAAAACCATTTCACATTCAGGTTCTTTCCGCATGGAATGGCATGATGGATTAAAACCTGCCTGTACTTCTCAGCATTCACAATTCCATCAATTCAGGCATTATCACCAACACCACTGGCAGAAATGTAGCCTCAAACTAGGACCGAGCATTCAATTTCACTGCAGGCTGCAAGCATTCATTCTTCCAACTCTGTTTTTCACGTTGTAAACAACTGGACCAAAAAATATCTAACTCTAACCTGCTACTACAAACTATTCCCAAAATGAGCTTAGTTTTGAGATTGTCAAACAACAATTATTAGATTTTACTTAAAGGCACAATATGTCATTTTTAGGTTCCGTTAAAATGCACAATATATTAAAGCATTATTGGTGTTTCCATGTGTAAAAAATAAATAAATAAATAAATAAATAAAAACTTTTAGAGAATTAGAGGATGCGTGATGTTGTTATTATCATGTGACACAGTACAATTCACTAGTTAAAATGCAACATTCTTCAAAAGAATTGCGATAAAATACATGATTCAGTAAAATACAGCGGGAAAATAAGTATTGAACATCACCATTTTTCTCAGAAAACATATTTCTTAAGGAGCTGTTGACTTGAAATTTCAATATAGTGTAATAATATATAATTACAATATATAATAGTATAAATATGTATAGATAATGAAACTAATTAGTTTACTAATGACATTTTGCATAATAAAAATAAATGACACAGGAAAAAGTGTTGAACACATGAAGAAAGAGAGATGTAGAAATGCAGTGAAAGCCCAGACAGCAACTGAAATCTCTCAGTAGTTCTTCAGCAACCCTCTGCCCCTCCTCATTGTAAATTAAAATAAGCTGGTTCAGTTCAACATTTACACTACCAGGATGATGAGGATGAAACCAGAGTGGACATTTCAGCAAGACAATGATCCAGACCACAGCCATGGAAACTCTCAAATGCTTTCAGAAAGCAAATCAAGCT